TATTTTCGACAATGTGTAATAGTATTTTATCTACCTCTTTTTTAGGTAACATACAATTTTATTTTGTCTATTTTTTTATCTGACTTATAGGTAGTCTTCTAATTTATGTTCCTAACTTATAGGTAACATGATTTATCACTAATGTATTTTTCGTTACTAATAATAACACTATTTACCTGTATGTCAGGTATATAATCTAATGTGGGTGCTTGTCTGATCAATTGGTATAATTTGTGGGTCTTTACTTTGTATTGATTAAATTGTATTTTATCCATATATTAGGAATATTATCAAGGAAAGAATTCAAAATTTAAATTATGGAATTCAATTACAAGGAAATAATGTATTAAATTTAGATTTTCAATGTGTTTTCCTTATTTACCTCAAAGGGTAAAATTGACACAACAAAAAAAGTAATAAATGTCAAAGGACCTACATCTAAAACTAAAACCGCGAGGACTAAACCCAATTATAGCTAATCGTTTTGGACCTAGATCTAAGAAGCCCTTAATTTTATACACTTGATTGTGTTTACTTTTTTTTCTTTCTTCTCTTCATATTAATTCAACATCTCTCTCATGAATAGGAATGATGAGAAGTACTACTATACGATGGGCACGAATCCGTATTATGGGCAAGGAAATGCAAAATCAAAAAGTACTATTGGAACTCACTGATTTGCTCGTCCAGAATGACTATTCATGGGGGAAAATTCAACCAACCGAAGTAGTCAATACATTTTCTCTGGTGTCAAAACCAAATATTCCACAGAAAACAGAAGATGCTGATTATAATAATTGTGATTGTGGCGACGGAAGGGAAACCGAATCTACTTATGAGTATATTCCATTGTTTATAGCAACTAGAACTGGAATATCACAAATTGTGGAAAAGATTTTGAAGTGTCATCCTCAAGCAGTTGAGGCGCACGATATCAAGCATCAACAAAACATTTTGCACATGGCCATTAAGTATCGTCGGTTGGCCATCTTTAAGATTGTAAAGAAGAACAAATTCATAACCTCAAGGCTGGCTGACATGATCGACAGCGATGGGAACACCATATTGCACCACGCTGCAGATATGAGCTATTACACTGTGGACGCTAACCTGTTTGGTAGGCTGGACTGGACTGGATATTTTCAATTAAAATGGACATGAGTCCTAGCCATTGTTTGGTGAGCTTAAAGTGTGTCTAGGACTGGATATGGGCATTGGATCCAAGTCCCAAATAATTAGGGCTTAGAAACCCAACCCCAGACGTGGGTTTCGAAGCCAGAGAGCACGCCTCCAGCCATCTCTCTTCACCTCTGCTCTTCTCGTCTTCTCTTTCTTCTCTGTGCTCTCCTCTCTCTTCTCTCGCTTCTCTGTTCTCTCTTCCCCTCTTCTCTTCTCCTCTTCTCTCTTATTTCATATCCTCTCTCTCTTCATCTCCGCCTCCTCCTTGTGATTTCATCTCTCTACGTCTTTCTTCTCTGTATCTGTTCTATTCGTCTGATGCTTGGTGGCTAACAAAAACGAGTTTTTGTCATTCAATCTTCAGAAAACCCAAATTGTGTAGAAGTTTCGCCTTCAAAATTCAAACCCAAGTGAGTATTTTTTTGTTCATTATGCGAATATTCTGCATTATCTTTTTAGGTTTTGATTTGGGGTTTTCTAGGGTCTTTGATTTGGGGTTTTGGGGTGTGGGTTTTCAAGGGTCCTTGCTCAATCTTCAGGATCAGTACGTTATTTTTTCTCCATCTTTTCAGTTTTACAAATGCTTTTTTTCGTTTCTTTTCTTTTTCTTTTATTTGTTAAGTTTAATGGCTTATGCTTCTTTGCTGAACTTGGCATCAGATAGACCCCTTTTATGATTTGTGGTTCTGGGTTCAATTCTGAAATGCTTATTATGTTGAAGAAAGGAAATGGGGTAGTTATTTATTTATGTTTAAGCAGAAACACATGTGTGGAACATGATCCATATATATGCAGTTTTTGTATGTGCATCTTCACTTCTGCATTGCTTTTATTGAAGTGTTTCCTCTCTCTCTAAAACTTTTATAATCAAATGTTATGTTATGATTTTGAACCTGTTATTCTTGAACTATTGATAAATGACAATCATTCTTACTACTCTTTAAAGCCTGGTATTTGAAGACTCACATATAAATTAGAGAAAATAAATCAGTTTTATAATTCTTTCAGGGCGATATGGTCAACCTGAAGAAGTCGCAGGACTGGTGGAATTCTTAGCGCTCAATCCCGCTGCCAGTTACATTACTGGACAGGTAAATTTTTATTAGAAATCTGACAATTTTTCCTTGGACAAATGGGAAATGGCACCATTTGAGCTGTCAAGTTTTGCACTGATCCATTGTAGGTATTGACCATTGATGGAGGGATGGTGATGTGAGAGGCCAAGTCCCGCACCCCAACCAGCTTCATCTTACTGAAGGTTTCAAATGACGCTTCATCTTACAGAAAGTTTCAAACGAAGAGAGGCTTTTCTTTATATTCCATTCTTGATCGGCTTCTAGTTTCAACCAGTAATTGAATAGAAGAGTAGAAGGATAATATATATATATATTTTCGTTTAGCAAAGGTTGTTAAAATATACTCTGACACTTGTGAACAGTGTAAGAGAAAAAAGACTTGATAGGAATTATTTTAGTGTAGTGGTTTCAGTCTCCAGATGATTAATTTTGTGAATTTTGGGACTATTTTTATGGTATCCTCGTGTGATTTCTTATTTTTAATTTTGTCTACATGTTTTTTATATTAAATTTAATTATTTCTGATATTAAATAATTTTAATAAACATTAAATTAAATTTTAAAAATAAATTTTGTTTGAAGTCCAATGCAGTCCAGTCAATACTTGTACCAAACAACGGACTGGACTTTAGTCCAGTGCAGTCTAGTCTAATTTAATGTGTCAAACAACTTATTAAAGTCCAATCCAAACCAGTTCAATACTCCAAGCCCAATCCTAACCAGTCCAGTCCAGCCCACCAAACGGGCATATGGTCCTGCATTTCAGTTGCAAGAAGAATTGCAATGGATGGCGGTGAGTGATATATATAAGCCTTAACCCTAATTTTAATTACCCTATATTTAAGTCAATTGAAGTTCATCTACTAGGACATGCATTCATGCATTAAAAATACAGATTTTAAATGGTGATTCCCTTATCCTGATGAAAAAGAGCATTGATTTGCAGACCAGTGGTTTCAGTGTGTGTGTGTGAAAACCTCTCTTCCCTTCCTACACTTTAGTGACTAATTATTTTGATTTTTTTCTTCTAAGGTATGAAGTTCTTTTTTGACAAGGGAAACATCTTCTAACATTAATTGCCAAGAGAAACTAGTTATAGTAGTACGAAATGGTAACAATGTTTTTTCCATTTGTGGGCAGCGTGTGCAAAAGATAATCCCAGTTAATTACACACTGCACCGCAACAAGAAGGGTGTGACAGCGGATGAGCTCTTTTCTAGGCAGCATGCAGAGCTTCTTCAGTCAGCAAAAGTATGGATGAAAGAAACTGCTCAGTCAGGCTCGGTCGTGGCGGCTTTGGTGGCCACCGTGGCCTATGCAGCTGAGTACACGGTTCCCGGGGGTACTAATCAGAACGGGCTTCCTAATCTCGAGCACTCTCCTTTCTTCAAAGCATTCGCCATTTCGATCACTGTCTCGCTTATCTTGTCATTGACTTCTTTGGGCACGTTTCTCAATATCCTGAGGTCTCCATTTGAGTACAAAAACTTTCACCACTCTCTTCCCTTCAAGCTGAATTTAGGGTTCCTCCTTCTCTTCTGCTCGCTGCTAGTGTCCATGCTCTCCTTCGCTGCTACTATTGTGCTCTTGATTCATCATCAAAAGATATGGTCAATTTCCCTCATTTACGTTGTTGTTGCCATTCTTCCTTTCTCTGCGTTTGGGCTCAACCATAATCGTTTTTATCCAGTATTTTTCAAAGGTTTGAAATATATTAAAAAGAAACTTACGGTGTTGACCAAAAATAACTCTTAAATGATTTGCCCTCTGTAAGAGGACGTAAGTTAGAATAAGAATGGAGCTGTAGCTCAGTTACAAGGTTCCCTGTTCTTCCTCCTTTGTCGGTGTTTTACCCCCTCCTTTTATGTATTTTCCAGAAGAAGTTAACATCCTTGAAATAAAAGTGTGTATGCTAAACATTGTGTTTGTGTCATGCTTTTATTTATAATTTCTCAAGTCGTACCAAAACGTGATTCATGCATGATCCTTATAATTATTAACAAGTTCAATTTACTTGATGCTTCTTTTAAACTTGTTATTCTACTTTTGCTTTATTAGTTTTTCTTTTTAAAATTTTATAATTGTGGGCTGGTATACGAGTTACTTTGTTACTAATTGGTTAAGCAAGGTATGTGATGCTAAAGAAAAAAAAGAAAGAACAAAAAAAGGAAGGTGATATTGGGATTGATATCAAATATTGCTCACTACGTATAGAATATGTTTACTTAATGAAAATGGGGAGAAAGAGAATATTATATAATATATATTCATATTTCAAACCAAATTGTATCCAACTAACAAGACCTTATATATATTTCCCTTCTATTAAGGGATATCTTAAATAATTTTATTTGAGGGATACCCTTTAGGGTACCCTACAAATTTTTTTCCAACAATCCAAACCATCTATTTTTTAAGTCTGCATTCATAGATCATCCTTGCAAAAAAATTAGACAAATTGAAAAACGTTTCGATATCCAGTTGTATCCTACAAAGTCAATGAACACGGTGCTTCAAGAAAGTACTAAAATTTCAATAACACAATCAAGTGGTCAAATGATATCGGATTCAAGTGAGTTATGTAAGATGACTTATGTGAGTTGGCATAATCACATGTTGTGTTTATCATATTAGAACAAGATAATAGGGTTTGTATTTATCAGTTGTACTAAGACTCCTAGTTTTGACAGACTTGGTAGCTATATTATATTGATAAGGACTCAATTGCTTACGTTTATCAGTTTGTTTAAACACTAACTCTATCTATAATAGGAGAGATATGGTTAAGGTTTGATCAATATAAAAGGACCTGATCCCTGCACTCACAAGTCGCCAAGTTCTATTTTGGGCTTGACCTATTGATAGCTAGAACATATTGAGACTTGCAGAGAGTAGAAGATCGTTCTTGTTTCATCTATGTATTCCTTGACAATTATGTATCAATAGTGAATCTGTTATTAATATTGCATAAGTCTTATGTTGTAATCCTTTGTGATGTTGATATGCTGCTAGAGCTGTATTCTTTCATGTGGTATCAGAGCCAACTCAACATCCTTAGGGTTCAATTTTTAATATCCTTCAATGAAACTCAAATGAGATGGATAAAATGGCATGGGTTTTGTTTTTGATATTAACATATCGTCTTTTTATTTATTTATTTATTTATGATTCTGGTTTTGCTTCCGCAAATTATTTATCATTTCATTCACCAATTTTTGTTTTGGCTTATCGTGTAGTACTATTTCCACAACTCGACCTCTGGGTTGAGATTACATTGAATTTTGGTTTCAATTTTCTGATTCAAAAGTTTGGATCTTGATGGGTTTTGGCTGTAAATTTAGGGTTGCTCACTTTGTAAAATTTTATTGGATGTGGATTTGACTTGAAATGATTACTTAATACTTCAAATCTGTTGTTTTTGTTGTTTAGATCTTTTCTGTTGTATATTTTGACAATTTAACTTCTTTTTGTCATCAACGAGCATAGACACTTTTGATATATGATTCTTTTGATGAACATGTTATTATTTTGCTTACTTTTGAGTTAATTTGTTTCTTGGCACAAGTCAGAATTTTGTACCATGAGTTTTTTCAATTAATGTACTTAAGCCTCATACAAAGACTCACCAAATTCATGGGCACTCTCCCTTGTCCTTGTGCTCTATTTGGATCACTTTAAGATTTGCACTGAAAAGTTGCAGTTATTGAAAATTTTGTATTTGCTTAAAGCTTATGTTATAGTTCAATTGTTTTCTTCTTTTACATTTTTTGTTTCTCTGTATGCATTAGTTCTTTTCTATAATGAACTAATTTTGCAAGAGTCTTTTTTCATGATTTGAGTCAATATATCTAGTATGACACATTTCCATTTTGATATTGGTTTCCTAATGAATAAAATCAACTATATTCATCAATAATGCTAATGATGAATCTGTCATTCTATGACACTAATCAACTTTTGATGTTGGCTTATTAAGTATGAAACCAACTATTATGTTATATTTGTGACTAACAGCATTGATGAATATTGTCAGGGCATGACATAAGGTATAATTTTTGTTCAGTTTGAGTTTTGCCCATTCTATTGATGTGATTGAGATGCTACTGAATTTATCTGTACTTGCTTGCATCGTTTTTTCAATTAGCATCAAAGGACAGGTTTTTTTTTCAATTGATTTGGTTTATATATCCTCCTCGTTTTGAAATCGATTGAATTGGATATTTCGTTTCCCCATATTGTTGAACTCCTAGTCCAATTATCATGGTACATAGAGGCACGAAAGGCAATGTTGTTGTTTTCAATTGCTT